GGCCCCCCAGCAGAGGGGGCCGGGGCACAAAAAATAAAAAGCGAGAAGGACCCCCCTGAACACGACTCACGACACACGAGCGTTCATTGTAAAATTCTTGGGCCTTCGTTTTTGTTTTTCCATCTTTTACCGCCCGATTCGATTGCGGTTGCGCATTGGATGGATGTGCCGCATATACGCTCATCGTCCTCGTGGTAGAACGCCACCAGCGCTGAGTGTCACAACATTTTGGACTCCGTATGCCAGAGGTGAGCACGAGTTCGCTGCGCGCGTTTTGGCGTATCGCAGTGGAGTCGCCTCCCGGCAGCTCGGAGCCGCCGCCGCCGCAGCCGAGGCCGCCTCCTCGGCCTTGGGCCAAGGAGGACAGCACTACCGGCCCAACGCAAGAGGCGACCGACGAGGACATGCCGCCGTGGCTGTCCACTGCCGCGGCCATCCTGCCGGAGGTCCCCTACGACCACGTGACCGCGGCCCGCATTGTCCTCGGCTGGCTCCGCGACGCCGACGGGGTCGCCTTTCTGCCGGTGGTGGCAGCGGGCCGCTCGAGCAGCGTGCCCGCTCGTCGGGCTGAGTTGCGTGGGGCGATGGGCGGCCTCCGGGAAATGGCGAGGGGTCGGAGAACGCTTCTTGTTGCTGGCCCGAGGGAGGAGAAGGGCGGGTGAACGGAATGGCATCTATGAGTATGTGTTGTGCATGTGTAACAGTACGGACGTGCTGAGTTCTTTTTCACTCGAGACGCGGCCTCCGTGTAGCCGCTCTTGAGAGATGAGACTACAGAGAGTCGGGGCAGTCTCCGCTCGGCAGTGACTCGGTGAAACTGTCTGCTGTCTACGTAGCGTGTCTTTTGTCTCTTGTGCTTTTTTGACGTGTGAGAGAGTTTCGCAAACCTCATCCCGGCACCAACACGATTCGTAGATCGGCGTCTCACGGCCGGGCCGCAGTGTGTTGTTTCTTGTGTGTTGTGACCCCGCACGCGTGTGCAGTCGTTCGAGCGCACACATGCGACAGATCCCACACCTTGAAAAAGTCTCCCCGCCTACCTGAGACCAAGCTCTACTGAGCTGCTCTGCTGCTGTTGCTTCTGCTGCTGGCTAAACTCCGCTGAATGCTGCCCAGCCTCGTGAACCCTGCGAGCCGCCAACCAGCGGGTCCGAGAGCCGCTTCACCAGCCCGCGCATCTCCGTCGCCCACGACGACGGATCGCGCAGAAAGGCCGCCCAGCCCCCTCTCCCGCCCGCCCCCTCCGCTGAGCCCGCCCCGCTCTCCTCGGCCAGTGCCGCGGCCGCGGCATCGAGCAAGTCTTGGACGCGCCAGGCGGGCGGCTCGAAAGGGCCTGCCCACCCTCCCTCGCCTCCCGCGGGGTGGGCGTCGATGTCGTCTGTGCTGACGCGGGTGATGATGTCGTCTGCGCTGAGCCTGCTCACAGCTTGAGGCGGTGAAGAGACGGGGCCGACTCGCCGCAGGCGGGGACGGACGCGCCGAGAGCCTCGAGGCGCGGCGATCCCCCTCCTCCCCTCCCGGGATCTGCTCGCCCAGGTCAAACCACAGCGCCGCTATCTCGTCGAGCACACAGTCCGGCTCGGTTGAGCCCGGCTGCAGGTCCAGCTGCAGGTCCGGCTCCTCCCCCCTCTCTCCCTCGTCGCCCGTGTCCGAGCCTGCACATACACAGGGAGCCGACTCCGGTTACCACGGGGCCACCGTGCAACCCCGCTCTCTCGCCTGGTCGTGCGCGCCCGC